TATTTTTTACATCAACAGGACTTAGTTATTTGTTTTTTGGGCATTTGTTATTGATAACATTAAAAATGGTGTCAGTTGTACCTACTGTTGTGTTTAATTATGTTAAAAAAAATAATGTTTTAATCCCGGTGTTATTTACTTATAGTTACTTACAAATAATTAAAAAATCAAATTTAGATTTTTATAATTAATAAATTAGAACTATTTTTGACAAATTGATATTAATTGTTTTACCAATTAAATTTGTCGTCTAAACTATTATCTATGTAATATGTTGAATACTATTAATAGGTAATAATAATTCCATAATGAATTTTTAATTTTTATTATTTATTAATTTATTGATAGAATGAGAGAATATTAGATCACATTTTTTTTAATGCACTTAAATGGTTGTATAAAATAATACTAGGTTATACCAACTATTTTGCCAAATTTAAGTAGGTATAAATATCAACATTTTTTCTTATTTACCATGTTTAGATTTTATCTTTCACTGCATAGAATATGTATACTATTTCAAAGATAGACTAATATAGTTCCTATCATGTAGGTAACAATAATTATTTGGATTGTAATAAAGTTACTGTCCAATGAAAAAATAACCTATTTTCAAATTTTTATTGATGATAATTGACTCCACATCTGCTTGTGTTTGTTACATGGAAAGTATGTACAATATTAATACTTTTTTGCTATATTTAGTTGGAAATTATTATAATTGATTTTACTATGGTTTTACTATTACGTTATTTAATTTTTCTTTTGAAATTTGTTAGACCAATTATTCAAATAAGAACATAAATTCTTCTAAATACAAATGTTTGATGTAAGTCAATGAATAACATTATTTTTTAAAAATGTATAAGTAATAACTGTGAATCTCTATCCCAGAAGTTGAAGTGTCTTGAAAACAAATTTTGAAAAATTATTCCTAATAGTTTATAGTTTAAATAGTAATAATCTGTCCCTTACAATTAGGTTTATAACTATTAATTATATTAACTTAACAAATTAAATATTCTTTTTTTTTTTTGGAATACCCACTTATGAAATAGGTACCTATCATGTGTATTTTGTATACATTTTTATAGGTACATTTTAAATGAAAATATTATCTTAATTAAACAATTTTATCTGGAAAATATAATAAGAAAAATATGTTAGGTATTTGAATTGAATCTTAAAAAAAAACATCACATCTTATTTGTTGAAAAATAATGTAATTCAGGTATTCAGTACCTACTATTTTATTATTTTTATTCTTCAAGAAGATAATGGGCCCACGAATATGTTCAGGAGTTCACTATTTTAAATATAAATTCATCAAATAGTTAATATAAATTAAATAAATACAATTTGCAATATACATTTCTCACATAAATAAAATATCAATATAAATAAATACAAATTTTTTTTTTCATTTAATATAATATTATTGTGTACTATTATGTAAAACATTTTATAGTAAAATAATACAATATATGGCAATAGACCTAAAATTATCAATAATTACTAAAATCATCTAACCAATATAATTATATAATCAGTAGATATGCAATAAGCGTATACATTTGTTTTAAATCTGTCTATATTTTGATCTTGTTATAACCAAAGTGTAATTTTTTTTTTTAAGAATTTTAAAGGAGGTGCTATGGTCTTGTACGTTTTTGAACTGATATATTATTAATATGTGTATTGTGTTAATTTTTTGTGTATAGTTGGTACTTAAATATTAGATATTTTTCTAGTATTATGTCCATGTTCAGTTTTAAAAGTAAGATTATTTTTAATTATGTTAAGTACCGAAGCTTTATAAAATAATTTTTTACTGATAGTACATTGATAATATCTTTGTATAAGTATATTGTGTGGTATCTTTAATCTATTTTTAGAATAATTTTTAGTATTTTTTTAATGGTTATATAGTTGCTAAATACCTACCTCCCCATATAGAACTATCATAATTAATTATTGATTCTATCAATGGTTGATACACTACTTTAATTTTATTAAGTTCTAAGATATTTATTACATTGTTAAATGCATAGGTACCTACATTATTTTTCTTAAAGGTACGGTTTCGTTTCCGCAGTTGACTGCAGCAGTCATACAAAATACCGGTGCAGTCAACTGCAGACTACTGGTGCTCAGACCAGTCTTGCAGTCGACTGCTGCAGTCAACTGCGTTAACGAAACCGTACCTTAAGTTATTTGTGACAAGTTTTGTGTGGTCATTAATTTAATGGCACATACCTATACCTAAATATTTGCAGTTTTTAATTATTTTTACAAAGATTTGGCATGTACATATATTTTGATTTTAACACATAATTTCATGTATACATAGACTTGATTCAAATTAACTATATGTATAATGTGGTAAATTGTAGATTTTTTCTAAGTTTATGAATAAATTAATTTCACATAGCCACTTTTCGATTTTATTCAAATCTGAATGTATTGCTGGCAAAATACTTTATCCCAGGACTGACCTTCAACAAAAAATACTGTATCATCTGTGTTGCAGACTAGTTTTCCATTTGTTTTCAAATAATTTATTTGGTTTATATGTATATAAACAGTGTAAATGATCCATTGAGGTACACCACATATTATTGAAGTTTCTTTACTTTTAGTTATTTAGTTATTTCATTGTTTATTTGTTGTTTTCTATTTTTAAATATGAACTTAATAAATTGTAAGCTGTTCTATTGATACCAAATGTGTTAAAATGTTGTAGTAATATTTTATGATCTATAGTATCAAATGCTAAAAAAATTCCAAGGTGGACATTTTTTTTTTATTTTCAAAGGAATTATGAATGTAGCTTGATACTGTTGCAATTTCTTGTTCAGTACTTTTACCAAGTCTAGTGCTGAATTTTGTACATGATAGACGATTATTACATTCAAGGTAATGAACAATTTCTTTTTTAATAATTTTTTCAAAAGATTTAACAATATTTTATATTTTTGAGATTGGGTGATAATTTTCAATGTTATATATGTCATCCTTTCTGTGTACTGCTGTATTGGTGTTATTACTGAAATTTTAATGTATACTGGAATAGTAGATGTTGCTACAGCCAAATCAAAAATGTCTGATAGTGGTTTATCAGTGAATGTATATTTAATTTGAGCATTTTTACTATAATTCCATCTAATCCAGGTGAAGAATCGTCATTTAAAGCCTTAATTGTTTTTATAGTTTATTTGTCATTAATTAAGCCTATTTATTAAACAAAATGTTTATAGTATTTGAGATTATTTGTTCAGTACTTTTGTGTTATGAATATTTGATTTGGTAATTCATGTTTTTTTGCTGCGTTTGTAAAGTACTTGTTAATGCAATTCAATATTTCTTTTGATTAATATCTGAAGTGTGCAGTTTTTCACCAAATTTTTTATTTATAGTTTGAAAAAGGGAGTTTGAAGAATCTGTTCTAGATTAGTTTGAAGCATCTTTAATAATTTTCCAGTTAAAATTTCCTCGTTAAATAAATATGAGATAGTAAAGTACATATAGTTATATTTATAACTTAATAGTTTATTTTTTTTTTACACAAATTACGATAAAAAAAACAAAATAACCATTAATACTTTTTCCTGATTAACCTATTTATTATTATCATTGTTATTTTTTTTCCTCTTCTGTGCCACTGCTTTCCTGACAAATCCTTGAGATGCCCCATGAAGCTTCTGTGTAGAGTTTGAATACCTATGCTATACTTAATTGGCTCCAGCACAGCCTTTGGCTTTGTTGGTGATCCAACAATAATTATGAATTTTGTAGACATCTTCTAATGTTGTTTTTTGGAGAAATCAATAAATATTAAATTATTATTATTATATTATTAAGTGAGGGAGTGGGTAAGGTCACCCCATATGTATACTCATGTAGTGAAGACAGGTAAGAAGTTATTACAGAAAAATCCAAATCAATTAAAATAGAATTTAGTATTACACTTGATTTTATAATTTATCAATTAATTAAATACTAGTGCCAATGAGAGAGCACTACTCGTTCTCTTGCATCCAAATGAACGAGCTCCTCGTTTTCATACCCAAATTTTTCCCACTCTACCCTATAGTTGTAGCAACGATGGTTGGGCGGTCAGAGTTGACGGCGGCCAGCGTACGGGAAGATTTAGTGGTGGAAATGTGCAAGATTGTACGAGTTTTGTATGCCGCCCAGTAGCACTCTCTCAATGGCACAAGTATAGTATTGGGTTATTAAATATATCCATATTCTTTACTTTACCAATATTAACATAGCAGATATACTTGAATGTGGAAATAAATAGGATATTTGTTGGTTTAACATGCAGTGACTTGGTGAACAAAGTTCTATGATGCCTAGGCGTATTGGTAGACATTTTTTATGGGGGGTGGTTGATTGGATGCATTGCGGTAAGCAATAACAAAAAACAAAAATTAAATTTACAGTCTTTTTATAGTATTATATTTAGCTTAATCTTTAAGGTTCATTTGGTTTTTTCAACATTATTTTTAAGTAACTCAAGTAGTTTTCAAAGGCAAAAGCTAACCAATTATTAAGTGGCTAAAACTTGTTATAAACTTGTTATTAAGTGTGTTGAATCGTGAATGTTGTAAAAAATTTGGTTATGCCCTTAAATAATCTCAAAATCTTTCACACAATTAATAGTTAATGTAAACAGAATTTGTGTTTAAATGTTGGTTTAAGTGTATTATATATTATGCAATGAGTAAGATTGGATTTTTTTCTTGTATATGAAATATACATTGGTAACGCTGTAGTTACAGCGTACTAACTGCTTGATTTAACCAATTACAGCTCTGTATTTTTTTTTTTCAGAAATCACGGTGTACCTACTGAGCAGTATACAATATACAATAAAAGTAGGGTAGTTGTCTACATAGCAGTGTGAAGTTACCTGTTGATAAAACAGCAAATCCCAGATTGTGGTTGTTAAAGAGTGTGTTATATTTAATTTTTTGCTAATCCATAAAATAATAATGGCTTCAGAGCCACATTTGGATGAATTAAGAAACAGTAAGTACTTTATCGGGATAGCATTTCTACGAAGTACTAACAGATTGCCAATTTAGGTTTGAACAACCTTCCTGAAGAGTTACAACGAAACTTCAGTCTGATGCAAGAACTCGACTTGAGATCTCAAAAAGTGATGAACAACATTGATAATATCGCCAACAATTATTTGTCAAATGCCAAAGAATATTCGTTGGACGAAAAGAAAGTAACTATGGCAAACATAACTCATCAGTTTAATATAGCCAAAGAATATAGCGACGACAAGGTGCAGTTGTCTATAGAATCATATGAACTGGTATGTAGATTTTGATTTGTTAATATAACCCTAGAATTCATCTACTTCATTCTACCTACATTTCAGGTGGATAAATATATTCAGAAGTTGGATACAGAACTATTGAAATTTAATGGAAAAATTAAATTGCAAACTGACGTTGCCATCAAAGCTAAAATGAATTTACCACCGAAAAAAGGTTTTTGGATAACATAATTTAATAGTCTTGTTTATGTTTATTTTATTGTATTTCAACATTTTTAGAAGGTTCAAAAACAACAAGTGCACCACCTTCAGTCAGTGCTGTCACTGTTCGATCAAAACCAACCAATAGTGTAGACGATGTTGCAGTTGAGACTGGTTGCTTTTCTGGTGCTTCAGTTGGTGATGGAATTTCACATTCGGCTTATGTAGACATGCCTATCGATCCCAATGAACCAACATTTTGTCTGTGCAAACAAGTATCCTTTGGTGAAATGATAGGCTGTGATAACCCAGATGTAAGCATTTTGTTTTTAATTTAATGGTTGTTTATTGTTTCCTTCTATTTTATATAAACACCTTATTTAATATTGAAACCAATAAAGTTTAATAACGTTCAATTTTTATTGTAAACATGGTTTCATTGTTTTTTTTTTTTTTTGTTGTTGTATAGTATACTTTTTAACTGTAAGATTTTATATTTTAGTGTGCAATTGAATGGTTTCACTTTGCTTGTCTCTGTTTAAATACCAAGCCCAAAGGAAAATGGTTTTGTCCAAACTGTGTAAAAGACAAGAAGAAAAAATAACACATTCTTAAAAAGAAATGTATTTTTATTTTATGTATACATAGGTACATATTTGTGTGTTTATGTATGTATATTTATGAATATATAAATGATTACATTATTGAATTTTGTGTTACTTTTTAATGTGAACAATTGATTATAATCATACATATATAAGTAATATGATTTTGGATAAAACATTGCCACCGCCAAGGTATATGCAAATATCTATTACATTCAGTGTCTTAATTTACCTTTTTTTTTAATGATTGCTTAATTGATAGTAATATCCACAATAGAGCCTATTTTTGGGCAAACTTTCTATCAATTATGGCAGTCAGGTATTCTACCTTAATGACTTAGCACATTGTATTTCTCAAATAAGAGATAACAGTTTAAGCTGCTCCATCTCATTGATTGTCAAAAGATAGAATGACTTGTGCTTTATCACATATAAACATTTTTATGATACATCTAATTTAGATAATAAAAAAAAACAATTCCTAATACATTAAATTGAAATTGGTACAATGTTCTTATACTAGCAAAAGATATTGGTAAGTAAAATGTTTAAATTAAATTTGTAAATTTGCAATTACTTGAATTATATTAGGTACATTTATTATTTATAATTTATTAATGAAATAGTTAATAAAATATATAAAATTTTCATATAATATACATAGGCAGATATCGTGTCATATTATTCAATAGTAATATTAAAAAAAAAAAAATAATAATTTATAATACATTAAAATACATTTTAAATAATTTGTTGTCACTCGTCATATATATTAGATATTAGATAATATTTAAAAAAAAAAAAAACATAGAATGAATCCTTGTCTTTGAGGTATTAAAGCGAGCTTTCTCACGACTTCATTAGGATTAACGTTAATTTCTTTTTGAATTGAAAGAAGAGCTAACCCAGTTAACCGATCTTCGCAAGTTGTGTTGCGCAAATATGTTTTGATGCGCCGTAAAGTAGACAGGTAGTGTCCTTTCTGCGGTTGCCGTAGACGGGGGTAAAGTTGCTAATATTTCCAACAGTTTTCTTATATTTGGTAAAAATCTTTCATCACATTCTAATTATAACTACTGCATTTGAAGGTTTTTTTTCAATGTTATTTTTTAGCCATTTTAATTTCCATGTAGAGAACTCTTCTATAAATACTGTAGAATCTGGCAATAAACTTTCATAAACGGTTATAGTATCTTTTGATAGATCTAGTAAATTTACATTAATACGACTTGGAATTACTTTTTCTAAGTTCGTTACTATTTATTTATGTTTTATAAAACGGTCTGCTAAATGAACAATGGTATTGTCTAAAAATTAATTAAATATTGTTTGTCTGTAATACTCTTCAGGTGATTGTGAAGGAGTATTATCCCGGTTTATTTGTTTTTAAAGTAGGTACAATTGCCGATGTGTTATCGTACACGCGCTCCGGTCAATCGCGCCTATTTATACGGATATAGGTACAATCGCTCACATGACACGAAACAATGAGCGTGTTCCACGATAGCGATGCAAAGACACCATATGAAAATAGCCTGATCAATTTCCACATATTATATATTATATTATGTACAACTTTTATTAATAATTATTTTTATTTTTAGAGGGGAACACCCCTCCCCCGATAGGCATTCTCCTGGAAATAAGCAAACTCTAAATGCTTGATTATGATTTTCATTTTGAAATAAAAAAAAAAAGGTTGGCATTTGGGTGTTGCTCTGCTGTACAGTAAGTTACAAGTGAGTCACTGTAATGGATGCTGTTTAATTTCAATTCAATAATATAATGTTACTGTATAATAAAAACTATTCTGAGCAGACAGTCAGTCATCCTATGATGTTACTAAGTATATACTATATTTGATGATATTATTGTTAATAAAGTAATTTATATATAACTTATTTACATTGAACCTTGTTTAAAATTTTCAATCCTTAGTTATAAAAGTTAAACATTTTATAAATTTTAAATTTGATACACTTAGTCAAAATGTCAACTTTAAATGTTTGTAAAAATAAATTGTGCTTATGTATTTTTAATATTTTTTAACTAGGTACTATTGAAACAATATATTAGGACGATTGTATAACTTTTTCATGCATATTGGCTCTACAAATAAAATAAAATTTTATAGACATTTATAGAAAAATAAACAGAATAAATGAGTCAAAATGTTATCAAGTATGGGAAATGGGAATTGATAAAGTAAGCATATGGTGTAAATTTCAAGTAATCTATGGTTATTCGTTTTTGTATTACCACAAAGTAAGAAAATTGTTACTTGAGAAATTGAGTGAATATCCAATATAGTAAAAATTTTAAATTCAAACGCTCATAAAAATGCAATTGGAATTTCTTATGGTTATTTATTTATTTTTTGATAAAGGTAGACAAACCTAATATAAGGAATCTTGTATTTTATTATTGCACCACCGTTTTCATCGTCAAAAAACTACATATGTATGAATAAAATGGTGCTCTGCTGTACAGTAGGTTACAAGTGGGTCACTGTATAATGGATGGTATTAAATTTGAATTCAATGATATAATATCATTGTATAAAGAAAACGATTCTGAGAGGAGAAGGTAAGTCAGTCTACGTTTAAAACATATTATATTCATATCTATGGTATTAAAAAAAATTGACCTATAATAGGCACCTACCTATAATAAATTCCAAATTAATCATAGATATCACAATATTCATTAGGTACTTATAACGAGTTATACACTTATATACATCAACAACAAACCCTGATACTATCATAGATATATGATAGTGTACTTTAGAAGTTTCAAGTACCCACGAATAATATACACTCACAACAAAATAACTAAAATAGTTATTCTTATTTCTAGGTTTTTTATTATGTAATTTCGTCCAAATTTGAACTTAAAATTACTATAAAAATAAAAAATGCTTATGTAATTTTTAGATTTTAGATTCTGAGCGGAGCGATTTCAAAGGCAGATGAATAATATTAAAAATCCTTAGTCACAATTTTTTTTTATAAGCATTTAAAGTTCAAAAATTGACAAAATATGGAAAAATCACGAAAATTAGCAAATTATTTTGAGTTAAGAATTCGTAAAAATTTTTCTTTTTAAATCTAAGATTTGAAAATGAAACACAAGATTCCTTATAAGATTATCTACCTTTATCAATAAAAAAATCTCTACCGGACAGTCAAATTAAATTTTTATGAGCGTTTGAAATTCAAATTTTTACAACATTGGATTTTCACTCGATTTCTCATGTAGCGATTTCCTTATTTTGTTGTAATTCAAAAACGAATAACTGTAGATACATGAAAATTTCACTGAATGTTTATATTAGCATTTCCTATACACCATACAATTTTGAAAATATTTTGACTCTTTTTGAGCTGTTTACGGACATTTTCAGTTTTCAATTTTTTTAGTTTTTTTTTTTATAATTGTCAATAAAATTTTATTTGGTGGGCTAAAAAGTCTGAAAATTTAATACAAGCTTTCTTATATATTGTTACAATATCAGTTGAAAAATTTGAAAAATTCATAGGCACGATTTTTTTTTATAAGCATTTAAAGTTGGAATTTTGACAAAATTTATCAAAATCTCGAAAATTATCAATCGTTGGAATTAAAAAATTATAAAATGTTCAGTTTTTATAACTAAGAGTTGAAAATTTAAAACAAAGATTCTCTTAAATAATTCATACTTTAACCAAAAAATCTAAAAAATATATAAACACACTTATTTTTTACAGACATTTTAATTTCAAATTTAGACAAAATTTCATATTTAAACCAAGAATTACGATTTTAGTTATTTTGTTGTGATTGTATAATATTATTCGTGGGTACTTGAAATTTCTAAAGTAATCTACTATATATATCTATGATAGTATCAGGGTTTGTTGTTGGTGTATAACGCGTTATAAGTACCTAATGGATATTGTGATATGATTAATTTGGAATTCATTATAGGTCAATTTTTTTTAATACCATAGATATGTATATAATATGTCTTATACCTAGAAGGACATACCGTCTCCGCTCAGAATCGTTTTTCTTATACAATGATATTATATCATTGAATTCAAATTTAATACCATCCATTATACAGTGACCCACTTGTAACCTACTGTACAGCATAGCGACACCCACTTGCCCACCTTTTTTGGTAACAGAATTAACTACTTACGTGGTATCTTGTTTTAAATTTTCAATCCTTAGATATAAAAGTTGAACATTTTATAAATTTTTAACTAAAAAATAATTATTCAATTTTAAATTTGATAAATTTTGTCAAAATTCAATCTTTAAATACTTATAAAAAAAAATTGTGCCTATGTATTTTTAATATTTTTCAACTGATATTGTAAAAATATATAAAACTTTAAGGATATTTATAGAAAAAAAAAACTAAAAAATTGAAAACTGTAATTGTCCGTAAACAGCTCAAAAAGAGTCAAAATATTTTCAAAATTGTATGGTGTGTAGGAACTGCTAATATAAACATTCAGTGAAATTTTCAAGTATCTATAGTCATTCGTTTTTTAATTACAACAAAAAAGAAAATCGTTACATGACAAATCGAGTGAATATCAAATGTTGTAAAAATATGAATTCCAAATGCTTATAAAATTTAATTTGAGTTTCTTGCAGACATTTTTTTTTTTTGATAAAGGTAGACAAACTTTGAGGAATCTTGTATTACATTTTAAAATCTTAGATTTTAAAAGAAAATTATTTATGAATTTTTAACTCGAAATAATTTTCAAATTTTCGTCATTTTGACGTATTTTGTCAATATTTGAACTTTAAACGCTGAAACTGAAAATGTCCGTAAAGAGCTCAAAATAAGTCAAAATATTTGGAAAATTTAATGGTGTAAATGCTAATATAAACATTCAGTCAAAATGTCATGTATACCTATGGTCATTTTTTTAAGAGTTGCACCAATAACCGAAATTGATTTTCTCGAAAACATATTTTGTTTAAAAATTCCCGTTTT